CCTATGTTTTCTATCAACTGTCTTTCACTGACTTTTTTCTCTTCTTGTCTTTCATTTTGACTCTCCTCTGCCACTTCAGTTATACTCTAATTTGGCCTCTTTTTCCCCCTCCTAACCCAAACCTCCTTTACTAAAACAATATTTTTTAATGCTATTTCCTATGTAAAAAATCCACAATGCTCTTATTGTCTATGTTAACTTTCATCCAGGTGGACCTAATAGAAAAAAAAATGTGTGCGTACCCCAATAAGAGATCTGGAAGGTTAGCCTAGCCCAAAGAGCTCGCTGCAAGTACAAAATTTTTCTTTCTTATTTTGTTTTAAAACCAAATCCATTTAGAAAGTGTTTAACAATAGATTTTCCAGTTTACTTCATAATATGCCCGTACAGTGGCCATGATGGAAGGGCAATGTATCTCTCCCAGTGCCCATCACTTTGTTCCCTTAAAAATTCTATTTATTTATTTATTTATTTATGTTTGAGGTTGATTGAGGGTCGGGGAATCTGGGATGAGGGGAAAGATCATCTTCTATGTAATACTACTTAAAATATCAGTAGGAGGATAGAAAGCATACTAGAAAATGGAGAAGTGATTTTAATCGAGGCTCTTCCATGTAAGGTACCAAACTGACAAGAGTAACGTCACTTTAATAAGCATCTTTCTGCTGATCAAAAATAAAATTTTCCAGATCTGAGACCACCTCAATTTAACTTCGTTGGGGGTATGGGGATATGATGATGTTCATAATAAATGTCTGAGGCTTAAGAAAATAATAGACTAAACTGATACTGATTAAAATCAAACGGTTTTGAAATAACTTCTAGAAGCAGATGTTAGCAACTTTTACCTTTATAAATGATTCATTTATAACAAATCAAAATATATTAGAAGAAAAAAATGTATGTTTTTTTTTAAGTCATCAAAAGTATAGGCAAGGCAAATAGCGTTATAGAATTGGGGGTGGCATTTTCCCTAAGGGTGGCAGGGACTTCTTAAACCCTGACAAAGGCCCATTGCAATGTTGAAGAAAGTAGATTTATGTCTTTGATTTCTTTTGAGAAACGGCAAGTTCGGAATCAGTGGTGAGCATGTGGTCTGTGTTGAGTTCATGTCAATGCGATTCGTTCCGGGCCTTATGTCCCCAACTGTCCCGTTCTGTCAACACCAGACTGTGAAGGAAAAAGGGAGTCAAGGCGCTGGGCCTTTCGGGAGCAGGATGTGGTTGGTGCATGGGACTTTGTATGACCTGCCTGTGCCCTGCAGGGATGCCACCGCCTCACTTTAATCCTCACCCCTCCTAACGCAGCAAGGGGACTGTCCCCTTGCGGCCCAGCGATTGCTGTGGAAGTGGAGGAGCTGTCAAAGGCAATCTGTACAAAGTGGGGTGTCACCTTCCAGACCCACACCCTGCGACACAGCCAGAAATGGCTCAGTCGTTTCATGTACTCTCACCTGCACCCAAGGAAACTGGCTGCCATTTAGAAAGGCTTAGTGAGGGTTTATCTTGCAACTTCTGGCTCTAATTTTGTTCTTTTGAGCATTAGCTTAAACCTTCCAGTAGTTCCTTCCAGTCTGCAATTTTCTTGACCTTACTTAACCTGCTTTTCCATTTTAATGAACAGTGAGTGGAAACATAACTCAGTGTTAAATATTATTCGCATATTTGCTGAACATACTATTTACAGACCTCTTTTGGATTATGTCAGAAAAGAACCTACAGTTTTTTACAAGTCATGGAATTGTAGTTTTTGTTACGTTGTAAAAGAAATGCACATATCTGAGAGTCTCTGCCTCTGTTTTAAGAATAGGAAACAGATACTCCTTGTCTGATTTTCTTGTTAGCACAAAAGGAAAGCGTAAGTGTGGGAGAAAAGTTTAATTTCAATATTTCTTACTGTTCTTGCTAAACACTTTGTCTTGGAGTATACACTTTTAACTAGCTAGTCAATAAAGAGAGACTCATTATTCTGTAATAAATATTAATAATAGTAAAAATATTGAATATTGCAGAGACAACGTAGGGCACTATGATGTGTATTTCAGTAACCTAACATCTCTCATAGTTTGTCCTTATACTGAAGACCTTGACCTTCTGTGATTTGTGTCTTATCTTTTTCAGAGTACTTTTTATGTGCTTTGCACAAGCAAGTAAATTTGAATAGCAAGTTAAAACTGAATTAAACTCTGGAAACTCTTCACAGTTTTTTTATCACCAACTCTCAGCTAATACACTCCCTTAGAAGTTGGTTGGGCAGTCAAGCAATATAATAGTTCAATTACCTGAATAAAATCCAGAGGGCATTAGGAGCCTTTTTAGCTTAACATTAGCTCTCTTGGTTTAAGAGAAGAAAGCTTGCTTTCCATAGCTCAAAGACACAATCTTCAGACCCCTCTTACCTTATAAATTCCCTTAATGTCATTATCATATCTTCATACAAATGTAGTCCATTGGCCGTAGATACTGAAAGGGCCAGAGAGTAGAGATTCCAGGGCTTATCATTTAATTAAGCTTCAAGAAATATCTTTAAAGACAACAGTAAGTATTATGCCTTATCTACCCTGATTATACTTGTCAAAATAGTGGCCACATTTGGAGGGATATACTTCTTATATTTGTTCTCTGCAAAAGAAGGATTAGCATGTGTTCATCACACTTTTATCCACACCTAAGTAAAGCTGATCTTTCCAAGGGAAAATTGCACTTTGTCTTTTATTTTTCTTCTTTCATATTGACCCAGGGGGGTTAATTGTGGGTTATTTACACTTGTCTGTGTCTCCACTGAGTTCTATAAATTACATTCCTCTCCTCTTCCATAGGGACTTGTAACAAACCAACATGAGTAACGTAATGGACTGCCCATGATTAAAATCCTCAAGATTTTTCTCAAGTAAACAATATTAATCATTTTTTAGGAAAGTACAGTATTATCACAGTCACCTATTCTTATTGAAATACAAATCTTGATGATCAATCGATTTCCCTTATAAGACCATGTGAGATAATAATATTTTATAAAATAATAAGAATAACTAACATTTATTGAACATTTACTATATGCTTGGCTATCTATGTTTTATATTTGTCATCTCATTTACTCTTCACAACAAACTCAACAATTATTATAATATTTAGGTTAAATACTTTAGCTTTCCACTAGTTAACGAGGGTTTGCTATGAAGTAAGAAAATAATGTGGAAACCTCAAATAATGAACAAGGTAATTTAGATAAAACATCTTATTTTATACTTTACTGAATTATGTAGTTCTAGCTAAAATGAGCAATTTTTAGTGCAGTTGTACTTGTGTACCTTTGTGAGTGTTTGCAGAATCCAAGTATTACTAACTGCTCTTGTTCAATTTTTTAAATCTGGATTGTTTTTCTAAGTAATCTAAAGTTCCTTGTGTTTGTCAAGATAGAGAAGAAAGTCCATGTGGGAATTGAACCAGTGCTTCACTAATACATGTTCAATAAATACTAGCTTCTTTTTTTTTTGCTGTTGATTTTTTACTCATTCATTCATCCATTCGTTTGTATTTATTGAGTGCTTTCTATGAGCCAAATACTATTCTAAGTAGCAGGAGATACTACAGTGAGCAAAACAGACAAAAAACCTCTGTCTAGCCACAAATAATGGGAGAAGATTTTGTAAGATAAAACTAGGCTAGAAATAATAGCAACTTCTAAATAACACTTCTTCTTGATATTCCTTATTACTATATTTCTCTTGGGTCCTGTGTTATTAGAAGATGCCTGTAATTTTAGCCAATTTGACAGTCCTTTTAAAATTTTTACTGTCTGGGTTTTATTTGTTCAGCTATATTTATGGAGTGTCTACTATAACTTAGCTGCTCTTCTAAAAGGGTAATTAAGGGGCATTTAGTACTGAACAGCACCAAACTTTGCTTTATAATTTTTAAACACAGAAAGACACATTCATAGACACAAAATTAAGGAGGAGCAATTGGGAAATATCTAACATGTTAATACCAACCATTTACAACCAAAGACAGAGAGAGTGACAGCTTTTCAAGCTTGTCACCTGTTATGGGTAGGATAGTGGCAGCAGGTCATATGTTTGACTATCCAAGAATGGGTAGCAGTTAATTGGAGGTGCTCGGGGCTCTGTGTGAGGCTGCCTTGTGTTGAACCGCCTCGTTGGCCCCACCCCTGTGTTCCTAAAAGGAGTAAAGGTCAAAACAGGCATTTCAGGTTCAGACAAAGACTCTGAGCCTAAATATCTTGATTTATGAGTTTGTGGCCTGGGGTTTGTTAGATGCAGGGGCAATCTATAAAAGGGGACTAGGATTAGATGGGGTGGGCAGAGCCAGGTCTGCTTGGTAATGGGCATTAACTGATGGCTGGCGGTGAATGGGAACATTCCCTGCTATCCAATGGGTGACACCTACACAGAACTGTCCCCGCATGGACAAAAAAAAAAAAAAAAGGAAAGATTTTAGGACAAATGAACTCTTCATACATTTTTATTTGAGTGGGAGGATATTTTTCTTTTTGTCTAAATTTTTAGGCTGTTAAAATTGTATGCATCATCATATAAAGATGTTAAAATTAAATTTGAAGTTTAGTGGTTTAAACAGAAAGTACAAAATTCACCATGAAAGTAGCCATTTATTAGGCAAGAGAAAGGAAGAATCCATTTTTAAAGGAAAATTCCTTGGGTCTTAAGTTGTGGCCAAATATGGAGACATCTCAGTAATTGTATATATGCTCCAGTAACTTACACAAGGTAATACGGTTATAAACTTCCTTCTGGAAGTGTTGCAGCAAGTGTACAGCTAGTGTTACAGCTCTCTTCCTGTCTTCTTATCTTCTGACCCCCCCTTTCCTTGTTCTCCTCCTGCTTATGTACCCTTGGTAGGCTCAAAAAGTGTCCAATCAACTACAAGCTTTAATATCCAATCAGCATCAAGCTTTAACATCCAATCAGCAACAAGCTTTAACATCCAATCAGCAACAGTGGGATTCAAAAATTACCCAATCAGGATCATGCGACCAGCGTATCCCGTGGCGATGCGGAGTGATGGGGAGGTGGTGGCAAGGTACCTGACATTTTCTGCATCAGAAGGAACATGAAAAATATTTGGGTCTGTTAATCTGAACAGAAGGGCAATATTTAAAATAGATAAGTGTTATTTTCGATAATGCTCTCAAATGATAATAAATATCATATATAAATATCATATTGTACTAATAAATCCATATCTGGCTTTGTAGACAGCAGGATCAAATACTAAAGAACCAAATTCCAATTTAGAGTGAGCTGTTCCTCAAAGATCTTATACAATTTTCTCTATTTATGAAAGATTGTACAATATCTACATAAATATTAATATAAAAATACTTGTGATCAAAACATTATTTATTCATTAAAGCTGATTATCTGCAGTATTGTTAGAGCAGTGATATGAATTTCTTAGCTGTCTTAATACTGAAACCACTTGTGGGTAAAGAAGGAAATGTGAGCCGGTGAGAATCAAGGAAGACTTCAGGGTTTGTACTGTACAGGAGACATGGACACAGTGGTCCTCACTGGAAAGTTTAGATAAGCAAAGACAAAAACTACGAGTGAAGACTTGCGTGACAATGGAAAAATGAATCTTAGGAAAAAAGGAGAAGAAATTTCAAATGGGTTCTTGGGAACCAATTATAGAGAGGCTATGCCTCCAGTCATATTAATGCATGAATCCATGAAAGGTTATTAACATTTGGTATTTATAATTACTGTTTATACTAGTTTAATTGAAAAAGGATGGATTGAATGAGTACTTACCATTTGTTGAGTAAAATGATTGATAAAACAGATGAGTTCACCTTTGCAATTCAATTTCCCCAATATTCTTACACTTGCACATATGGTAGCTGTATTTACTCAGATTCTGGGAGTTTGTTGAAGGTGATCAAATGTGGAGGCTGTGAACAGTTTTGGAAGGCCTGTGCTCTCCAGGACATAAACTTGGGAGGGTACACCATGTGACGAAAGTAGCAGGAAGAGCCCTTCGGGTGGATGTTTACGTGTAACCCTGTTAAAAACTGTATTTACTGAAATTGCTTTCTATTACATATAGAGAAAATGAAGGCAGAGCTTAGTTTTAAAGTGATACAAATTTATGTAAATCTGGTTTAAATGACCTAATCTAGTAAACAATTTACTTCTAAAAGAAGACCATTCACACAGGATCACTGTAGAATTGTGCGTGACAGAAGACTTTCATCACCATTTTGTACATTATCAAACAATACCGTGTTTCCCCGAAAATAAGACCGACCCATAAAATAAGCTCTAGCAGGATTTCTAAGCATTTGCACAATATAAGCCCTACCCCGAAAATAAGACCTAGTGAAGGGCATGGCTATGCAGTGTATCTGCACAACCCATGCATTTCGTGGCAGAGCAGTAAAGAAGACGAGCAGCCCTTCTCATCTGCCCCATGGTGACAGCTGCTATCCCAGAGGTGACCGGAAAAGTGCGGGCAGCCCCACCAACAAGGTCGGTTCCCCCTGGCAGGTCCCGGCCATCCCATGCCTGCTGCAAGCTGAGGCTTTGAGGGGAAGATAACACATCCCCTGAAAATAAGCCCTAGGGTGTCTTCTTGAGGAAAAATAAATATAAGACCCTGTGTTATTTGGGGGGAAACACGGTACTTACTGTATTGCAGTAAACACAAAAGCAATTCCTCTAGTTCAACAGTAAGAGATTCTTGACATTTTCCAGAAAAAGAGGTGTTACAATTTTGTGTTTTAACACTTTTAGTAACAAAAAATGTTTGAAGAGTAGTAGAAGAGAAAATAAGAAAAGTTATTAGTAGCTCTATATATAGTAATAGAATTAGTAATCACTTTTAGATCATCTCTTTAACAATGTGGAATGGAAGTGAATTTTGAAATCATTACGCATTATACATATTGCAATGTTTTAATTAGCAAAGAAGATCAGCCTCAAGGTTAAATATCCCATTAACTATGAACCTGAAAACAGAAAGACGTTGACTGTCATTGTTAAAAGTCTGTTGGCAAATTTCATGAGTATTGTGACTTTTATAATTTAATATTGAAAAAACCGATTTATTGAAATTAAACCATTTTAATAAAAGCCTATGCAATTTTTACAGTTTTAGTTATTCAAATAATGGATGACTTTTAGACCATTCAAAACATCAATGAGTACTTCATTGGTTAGTAAAACTGAAACACTGAGTTGCATATTTGAGCATGGGAGAGTGTATAATTTTATTTTTTATGAGATTCTTTGAATCCAGGGTGACTGACTTAAAGTCTGAAGGCAAACTGGCATGTTGGCTAGCCGACTGAGAGATTGGACAGAACCCTGCTGGTGTGGGGTTTGGAAAGGAAGAACTGCTCAGTTTTCTCTGTGAAAGTAAAGAGTGGGTGTGGAGATGGAGTAGGATATTTGACCGGATCCATCAGCTGCTCTTACCAGTTTCATTGACTTTCCATGGCCTCTTAGTATTTCTGGGGGAATTTATTTTCAGAATCTGACTGTTTGATTCAGAATGCAGATTTTTTCCCCCCTAAGAAAACATTGACAAGCTATCCAAGAAATTTGCCTACGTCTTTACAAATGTTGAGGGCTGCAGGAATACTGGCAGATACCAATATGAATTTTGGCGAGGTTGCTCTAGGTTTAGTTCTCAGTGTGGATATATCAAATCCACAAGCTTAGAGATGAGATTGAGTGATTGAGACTAGAGATGAAAGACAGAAATCATAGTGTTCCAACAAGTTTATTAAAGATCCATCAATGTTACATTAATTACATAAGAAATGTACTTCATATTTGGTTTAAATCCATTCTCAAATCTTCATCACCAGATTAGTCCTGCAAAGATAGTGCATTGTATAAATTCCAAGAGATTAAAAGGGGGCAATCAGACTGGAGAAAGAAGTGCAATATAACTTGACACTTGTTTTTCATAAAGAACCAGATTTTTCAAAGGGATCTTTTTGGTTAAGTATCATTAGAGTTAGGCTTAATATCAGGGCTTGTGTTACTAGTTACATTATCATTGCCTGGGAGAGTCAATATGTCTTTGAAATGTGAATAGCCCTATTTATCAGTAGGGCCTGATAAATGGTCTCCAATGTCCTATACACTCTTTCTTATTGTATTGTCCTCAGTACAGTCTTCTGGGGCAGGTGGTTATACAATCATACTTAGTGATGGCAGACAAGGGGAGTAGAAAGTTGAAATCTACAAAGTGGACAAGTAATTCAATTTAGTTATTAATTTTGTAATATCGACTCACGGTTAAGGGTACGGATTTCAATGTAGACTATCTTCCTCACCTCTAGCTATGTGATTTTAGACTTCGATTTTCTCTTATGAAAAATGGAAATAATAATAAATCCTACCACCTTACAAGATCTATGAGGATTAGAAAAACTATATTTTAAAAACACTTAGCTATGTCTGGACTGTGGTTAACAACCAAATCATACGTAGTTATTTGTGTCTTTATGTGTAAGAAGCTGCTCTCCATGAAATTCCTTATCAGAGTGGCTTATCTGATTTTCTTTTTTCTCTTCCATTTACAAGGGTGGAAATGCCTGGGAGAAAGAGACTTGAACAATCTGCAGTAATTACAGACTCAATAATGAAGAATTGACTGAATTTTCTTTTGAAAGACTCAGAAAGCCATGGTTTCAGAGAATCATTAAAATCACGCAATAATTAAATGTTATTGACAACATAAATTCCATGGGGTAAAATATGTTTGGAACACCAGCTCAGTTCCATATTCCTCGTTCAATAAAAGGATTGTACCATAGCTGGATAAGACGTTCGGGCTAACTGGTGTGAATTTAATGAGCTATTCCAACATGTTGGCTTTAGATTATATTTTTGGAAAGGTGAATGCTATGTGTGGAATTTTGTCTCCCTTAAAAACATATGTTGAAATTCTAAACCCCGGTACCTCAGAATGTGACCTTACTCAGAAATAGGGCTGTTGCAGGTGTTTTAGTTAAGGTAAGGTCACACTGGAGAATGGTGGCCCCTAAGCCAATATGACTGGCACCATCCTAAGACAGAGACACACGGGAAGAACGCCATGTGGAGATGGGGGAAGAAGTAAGGGGAACAGCAGAAACCAATGCATGACAAACCACCAGAAGCTGGGGAAGAGCAGGGGACAGAGTCTCCCCACAGCCCAAGGAGAAACCAGCCCTGCCCACCCCTTGACATCGGACTTCCGGCCTCCCGAACTATAAGACAGTACACTTCCGTTGTTTAAGCTCCTCCATTCCTGGAACTTTGTCAGTGTAGACCTAGCAAACGAATACGATGAATAAAAAGTAGGAAATGGAGAAATAAGAACTTATTGATTCCAGCAACACGCCAGAGTATTAATTTTTAGAATTTGAAGGGACATTAAAGATTTACTGGTCCAATTCTCTTATTGTGCAACTGAGGAATTCAGTTACAGAGAAAACTCTGTAGCAGATGTGAGCTCATATTTGAACAAGACAGACTCCCATTTCTGGCCTTCTTTTCTCAGTTGCTTGCCATTACTTGTAGAGAAAGTACTGATAACCAAAGTCAAGAATTGCTATAAATAAAATGGACAAGATTGATGAGTGTTTCAGGTATTCGGATCAGGCAAAAGTCACCTTTTTGGGATGATTAAGGAGTACTTACCAGAGGAAACAGGGATTGAGAGAGAGAGAGAGAGAGAGAGAGAGAGAGAGAGAGAGAGAGAGAGAGAGAGAATGATTCTGTCTGTGTTTTGCCTTAAGTTTTGGATTTGAAGGACAAGCAAAATTGGTAGGTAGAATGGTGAAAGGAAGACATTTCCACTGGAGGAAACGGTGGGAGCATGCTTGATGGCAGCATGAACACACTGGGAACATTTGAAAAAGATGAGGGAGCAGTTTTATTGGTGGATGGTATTCGTATGGAGGTTTAGTAGTAAAGAAAATTGGAAAAGTGGCAGAGGCTTTCATAGTCCATTTTCTGTTGCCTCTAACAGAATACTTGAAACTAGGCAATTGATAAAGAAATTTATTTCTTACAGTTATGGAGGCTGAGGAGTCCAAGGTCAACAGGCTGCATTTGGTGAAGGCCTCTTTCCTGGTGGGGACCCTCTGCAGAGTGTGGAGGTGGCACGGGGTATCACATGGTGTGGGGGCTGAGTGTGCCAGCTCAGATCTCTCTTCCTCTTCTTATAAAGCCACCAGGCCCACTCCTGTGATCACTCATCAACCCATAATCCAGAAATGATTAATCCACTCATGAAGTAAAGAGCCCTCATGACCCAATCACCTCTTAAAGTCCTCGTCTTCAAATACTGCCACTTTGGGGATTAGGTTTCAACATGAATTTTGGAGGGGACAAACATTCAAAGCATAGCACAGGCCTTGCTGCCAGGAGTCAAAGCTTGGGGAAGGAGGGCCATGCTGTATGATAGCTACATTAGGCTTTGCTGGGTGAGGGACTTTGCTTTGATTTTGAGCCCAGGTGTCCCATCTGTCAGGATTCATTACTTTTCTCCCTGGCGGGAGGTACTTGCCAATGGGTAATTCAGATTTGATTATAACGGCATCTGGGAACTACTATGATTTTCTACCTGCTTTTAATTTCTCAAACCTTATTGTTTGAGTGAATGCATGTGTGTTTATGTATGTACCTGCACAGGAGAGAGATCCCCAAGTGAAGCCCCCAAATATGACAGTTTTTTTTTTTTTTGCAAAAAGGATCAGTCTGTTCTAGCTGATTGCAAGCCTTTCTGGGCATTAGAATACTTTGAAAACCACAAGAAAGAGAACCACAGTTCTTAAGACCGTCTGTTATTTGAACCAGAAGATTTGCAACTTCCATCATTCCCAGGTGGAAGAAGTGACTCTTGAAAGGGATTATATCTGTTTATCCTTGGATATCTCTAAGGGGGAAATTCTTTGTAAAGTTTTACATTGTGCAAATACTCATTCAGGGCCATTTTCATTACATGTGCATTAAGAATTCTTGCAATGTCAAGATACAGATTTTAATTTTAGTGTACTATCCTTGCAAGCATTTCTTACAAGCCAGTTAGAAAATGTGGCGATTTCTGCAAAATGATAGTGATTTATTTTAACATACATATAAGTTAAAACATATAAATTTTATATATATAATCACACAGTGAAATGTTAATGACTTTCTGATACCTTAAGTCACTGTGTGGGGAAAATGACTATTTTTTAAACCAAGGACTGATAAAACTCAAAGTAAAGCAACAATACTTTATATAATAAATAATGCCTGTTCTGCCTCATCCCTTCCCACCCCAAATTATTAAGGATTTTACAAATATTAACCCTTTGCACTCGCTTGCTTTTTTCTCGATTCCTTTATTCTACTCGGGATTTAATTTTTTAAATATCCCAGATCTTACAAAGCACGGCAGTAGAATAAAAAAACTGGAGTTTCTTTTCATACAAACTTATTTATTTGGATTTTTTTTATATTTCAAATTATTGATACATTCAAAGAGTCATTTTAATCTCCATAATTTTTGCTAACCGTGTCGAGTCACACTCGACATCCGAGTGCAAAGGGTTAATTTATTCTAATGCTTTTCAGACTATTATTTGTATTTTTGCTATGGTCTGAATGTTTGGGCCCCCCCAAAGATCATATGTTGAAATCCTAATTCCCAAGGCGATAGGATTAGGATTAGGAGGGGGCCTTTGGGTAGTGATTAGGTCATTAGGACAGAGCCCTCATGAATGACAGGGATTAGTGCCCTTATAAAAGAGGCTGGAGACCCTCACCATTTCTACCCTGTGAGCACCCAGCTTGAAGCTGTTGCCTGTGATCCAGAGAGCAGCCCTTAGCAGACACCAAATCTGCTGGAGCCTTGATCTTGCACATCCAGCCTCCAGAACTGTGAGCAATAAATTTCCGTTGTCTATAAGCCAGTTTGTGGTATTTTGCTATAGTAGCTGGAACAGACTACAACAATTTTTTTTTAGAAGAAAATATGTGGGTCATCTTAAACCACAAAGTTTCATCCTTTGTTGCATTTGAACATGTGTTAGGTACAGCTCTTAAGGCCATATATTTTTCTAGGCATATTATCTTCATTGCTACTTGTACACTGGTACATTGTATTTTTAAGGTCTATTCTATTACTCTGTGGAATTATGCACCTCAAGTACTTGCACTGAACTCAAATTAAAATAGTTCACAAATAAAGGAGAATAAATTTAGTCCCAAATGTTTATCTCTAAGTTACAGATGTTTTCTTTCCTCGTTTTTCTGCCTTAGATGCATTAGATTCCTTTTTAACTTTATAATTGGAGTTAAATAAATAAACATTTCCATGGGGAAAATTGTGGACTTTCACCAGCTGCAAACTTCACTGCGTTGGTAAATTTATGTTTATTCTGTAGTAAAACAATAATGCACGGCCCTGGCCTGAATTCATAGCTAGAATTTAATCTGTTTAATTGGGCAAGTTCAGTCTGAGGTCCTTTTGTCCTTCATAAAACTGTACTATGGCAGTTTACGATTCTAACAAACCCTCACGAGTGAGTTATGATTTGGGACTCAAACTGGGAATATCCACAGGATTATTCAGAAAGTAATATCCCAACTGGGGGCACTTTACATTTTTACAATGGGATATTTCATTTTACTATGCCTAGAAATATTTGTCAAAGAGGCAAAAATGGTTTTTCAAAGCCCTTCGGTTCTTTTCTCTAATTTCCTAAGGTAATTAGTGTGATAATGTTTCAGTTCTTTTGACTGGAAAACAAAGTATCCTAAAACTTTCAGATGAGTTTTAAAGAGAAGTCAAGGCTATGGATGTAGGTTAATGAATCATGTTTGAGCTATTAAGTCCCTGGTTCTCCTTCATCCTCTTTGTCAAGTGGTTCTCAGAAACAGACTGAGGTTGACTGTGAACCCACAAATTAGTTGCACCCTCATAAAAAGGCTTAAACACCACTGTGCTTGCTGTTTTCATTGAATGGTAAGGAGAGAAAGTTTTTTGTTTTTTTTTTTTTTTTTGTCATCGACTGTTGTACTCTAACCTAGTACAGTATTTTATTCTCATTTTGACTGTTCTATCCATCTGTGACTACTTCCCACTCTGTTTTCCTTTTCCTCTATTGGTGTGAATTTGTAATTTCAATTACATGAATATTGTGACAACATTCTCTTTGAGCATATGTGTCAGTGTTTCTTGTAATAGCAGGAAACTTCAAGCAGAACTGCTGGGTCAAGGAGTATGTGCATTTTTAGGTTTAATAGATACTGCTTAATTTCCTCCAAAAGTGACCCTCACAGTGTTTTGTTTTTTTTTTTTTTCTTGTACAAACAGTGTGTGACAGTGCCTATGTCCCCACACCTCACCAACATTTGGGGCTATGTTCAGTTTTTAGAATTTTTTGCCCGGTGTGAGTAAAAGTGTTATCTCAGTGTGACTTCGATTTGTTTTTCCATGGTTACTACAGAAGTGAACTATCTTTTCAATGTCCATATATTTTTACTTCTATTAGTTACTTTTTCATTTTTGTTCATTTTTCTTTCAGGTATTTGTCTTTTTCTTATTGATATGTTGTTGTTTGTTACATATGTTGCAATTTTTTTTTAGTCTAAGACTTGTCTTGCAACATTTTAAGGTTTCTTGACTTGTTCAGAATTTTAAATTTTGATGTGCTCTCCCATATCAAATTTTTATATTTTATACTTTTTTATACCTTTAAGAAGGGTTTCTCCATTCCAAAGTCATGGACATAGTCTTCTATACTTTTCTCCTAGTAAGTTTAAAGTTTTCATTTTTAT